TAGCAGTGTGACCGGCAGGGACCGAGGTGAGGAGAGGAAGATTGTACCGCCAGAAAACGGACCCAGGGCTTCTAGCGCAAGCAGGTTCTGCTAACCGAGCTAGTCCTGCTACCTGTCAGGATTAGGCTTGGGTCTAGTTATACATGGATTAGGAATCATGGAGTCTTAGAGATTACTTTCTAATGTTCTTACAAATCATATAGTGCAGCGCCTTCATCTCCCATGGGAGAAATGAGGCCTGAAGCTCTTCAGGGACTTGGCAGAGGTTATTAGCTGGGAGCAGAAAGACAGAGAAGCAGGCTCCAGGGCAAACGCTCACTCCATTCTCTCCATCACTATTTTTGCTTAATTTACACCAGACATTACACAGACAAATCATAGGCTCTCTGGTAATACTAATGGGTGTCACATGGCATAGCAATTATGAAACAGATTTCAAGAAATGTTTGAAAATGATTTTTTTTTTTTTGAGACAGGTTCTCACTATGTAGTTCAAGATGGCCCTGGGCTCACTTTGTAGCCCAAGTTGATCTTCAACTTGCAATAATTTTCCTGCCTCAGCCTCCCAAGTGCTTGAAAATGACCAAGTAAGGGCTGGGGATTTAGCTCAGCGGCATAAGCACCTGCCTTGCAAGCTGGCAGTCGTGAGTTCGATCCCTGATACCGATAAAAACGAAAAAGACAAAAAAGAAAAAAGAAAAGAAAATGACCAAGTGCTTTTTAATGACTTGATACGTTATGTTTCTGGAATAAAACAACTCCCAAGCTGGGTACTAAGATGTGAAGCTCGAGCTGCTGGGCAGGAGGAGACACAGGCTTCCTGGCGTAGTACAGCAGCAGGTGGGACAGGTCTTCCTGCCCGGCGGTACACGGAGCCCAGGGCCTCCAGCACTCCAGCACTTGCTCTGCCCCGAGCTACACCCACGGCCCCGCCCACAGCAAATCCTTCCAAAAATACCCATGTTAATGCTTTGGTTCTAGGGTTTCATTAGAACTATGTTTAACCTCCAGTTTTTTCTAAATTTAATTTCCTTTCACGTTTTAGATAGGCAATTAAAATATTTCAGGAATAGCAAATAATGCTGGAATGAAGAAAAGAATCTGGAATCGTAGCTCTCTGCTACCTATAGCAACGGCTTCCCTAGACTGTGACACCTATTCTGCTCTGGGGAGAACAGAATTGTTAGGGCAGTGCCAGCTTTTAACCCACATGACACTGATCTCAAGCAGACTTTGTAAGAAAGGTTTAACTCTGTGCCACCAGTGAAGGTTAGTTAATTCTACCCCTTTCCATCCTTGGCACAAACAACAATGTTCTGAGCTTCCTAGCCAGTGCACCTAAACTTGTATTACTGTACGAGAAACATGAATGAAAATATTTAGCTTCACTAAATTTAATTAAGCCACAAATCTCATCACAACACAAACTGTGTAATCAGATCCTATCTTTCCTATTTGAAATAACGAGTACTTTTGCCCCTACCAACGCACCATTTCCCCCCGAAAAGCACGGATCTCACTTCGCTCTGCCTCCGCAGTCTTCCGTGGCAACTACAGGGGAGGGTCCTGGCGTCCACGCAGTGCCCGGCACAGCCCCACAAAGCGCTCTGGCCGCAGCGCTTGGGCTTCCGGCATGACCTCCTCTGGGGACACAGCCGGGCTGGGCGCCCAGGCCTCCGGCTGCAGATACTTCGGGGTGGCCGGCAGAAGCCACGCCAGGGCTGTCGTCCACTCCTCCTGCAGGCCAAGCTCGGGCCTCTCCACCATCTCCTAACCACTGCTCAGATGGAAACGGAATAGAGCTATTGATGAGCATCTAGGAACGACTTCACAAGACTGTCTATGGCTCACAAGTGAAATGCTTGCCTTGTTTTGGTTTCTGATGAAGATCCCTTCCAGTCCGATTGGCCAGCAGCCACGGTTATCGATGACCGAGAACCTCTACAAGGCACAGGATGTGAGAAGGCTCGCTAACTTAAGTATATCTACAACATTTAACTCAGTGCGTTTGCTGGCACTGTGGGGCCTGCCTGTCATCCCAGCATTCTGCGAGGCTGAGGCAGGAAGATTGCAAGTTTGAGCCCAGCCAGAGCAATTTAGCAACTTAGTTAGACCCTGCTTCAAAATCAAAAATAAGGTGCAGCTTCTCGACGCTGCCTGTCAGGCTTCGCACTGCCCTACACACCCAGGGCTCTGGGGGCAGGCGCCACACAGGCACTGCTGTGTAACTGACCTGACAGTGAGGGAAAGGAGTGTGACCAGAGGGGCTCGGGGACTCATCAGATGGGGAGTGCATATGTCCAGGGGCAGCCACTTTGAGGTTCCAGTCTTGTGGCCTGCCAGCAATGTACACCCATTCCCCAGACCTGCCGGTTTCCCAGCAGAGGTCCATAGCCACATACTAACGTAAACGATGCCAACTTTTAGGCGAACCTCTGCTAGGATATGTCTTTCCAATGATCAGTTTGTGGCCCCTGATCTCAATGCACGGACCACGCCAAGATGAGCAGGCTGCTTTGGGCAAGCAAGAGGGCTGCAGAAGCAGAGGCAGGGAAGGCAGGCGACAGGCGCGGGAAGGAGGGCGCAGAAAACGCACCCCCTGCACAACCGCACCAGGAGGACACAAGGGAAAAAGGGAAGAGGCAGGTGCAGCAGAGGCTCCAGGGCAGCGGGGCCTCGGCCCAGCAGACATGGCCTGGGCAATGCTTGTGCGGGGAAAGATGGGGGAAAGCGGGGCCCCTGGCTTGGGAAGCAGCCACAGGGACTGTGGGGACACCACGCACTCCATGGTCCACAAGTGCAGGGCTCGGCCTGGCTCAAAGTGCAGGCAGACAGCGCTGAGCTTCTCCACACACAGCACCGGCTCACAGGTATGTAACACAGGACATAAACCAGCAAGCGGGGAAGACCGGACACAGGCGACGTTGGTCTCGGACGGATTAAACAGGACCGAGGGAAGTTGTTCAGAACCTTCTAGGACATTTTCCCTCTGAATTATAAGCCACCAAGCTGCACATGTGGGGCCTATGTTAATAGTGAAAGTCCTCTCCTGTATAATTTTTTTTGTTTTTCTGGCACAGGGTTTTGCTGTGCAGTTCATGTTGGCCTTGAACTCACTTTGTCGACCACACTAGCCTTGAACTCAAAGTGATCCTCCTGCCTCAGCCTCCCAAATCCTGGCATTACAGGCGTACATCACCATACCCAGCTGTAATTTATTTCTTTTAGACATATACAGCTCATCCATATTTAGTTCACTTACACTTTTTATTCCTGTAAGGTGTTTCAAAGATATTAGACCTTTTTTTCATACATGAAATGCATATAACATTTCAGACCACTTGGGTTCTAAGCAGTCTAAACCCCAATTCATATCTCCCAAATACACATATTTAGTTTTGATTTTGTTCACAGATGAAATTCTAACCTACTTCCAGAGAAATTTCAAGGGAAAAACTCTGTTCAAAAACCTAGATAATGCATTCCTTTGTTGTGCTAAATATAGTCCCTTCAAGATGACATACATTTTGACAAGGATCAGCCTTCCATGTCACTTTCTCAAAAATAGCACAGATTCCATTTTAAGGTATGCAGGAATAATTGCTGATCGCTCCATTCCATTTGAAAATGAATTTAAACATAAATCTATAAAAAGTGAATTACATCAATAACTGTAATGAAGAAAACGGGGTTTTAAAGAATTTCGTTGTGATTTTTGCTCAAGGCATTTTAGGTGAGTTGTTGTACGTAAAATAAGAATTGCATACATTTTCCTTAAAATTATTCCTCAGAAGCATCAGTCTCAAGACACTTTCAGAAACTGGTGCTGAGGAAGAAGAATCTTAAATCAGCTACAATGAATAATCCAAGTTCATTTATACCAAAGATATCTTTCCTTAACATTTTTTTCTTTCGTTTGATTAATTATGCATTTTTTCTTACTGATACGCAGAAAGGCAAAAGAATTTTTAAAAATGAATATTTGGAGTCTTTCAATGCAGCAATGTAACCTGTAAAAAGTGAATTGCGCGGTCCGATTAATCACATGTGACTAAGGCGGCATAAATAGTGAAGCTGATTTAATCACACCGCCCTCGACATAGCTGTGCCATGACTGGCAGGGCCACGGGCGCCTGCTCCATGAACTCATTAACAGAATTTAGCCGAGGTTGACGATGTTCCCACCGCTGTGGTCAAAGCACTGACTTCCTACTTATTAGCGTTTCTTCTTTCTCTACCTGCCTCTCCTTCCAAGGGCAGTGTGCACACGCGCCCTGATGCTATTTTTATACTGCTTTCTCTCTCCCAACTCCCTGTCCACGTTATGACCTTTAATAAATATAAGATAAATATCCGACTCTTTGCAAAGCCACTAACCAAAGCCTTTCAGCTTGGTTCTTTTTCTTACGAATACCAGTAATAACACTCTTCTACAGATGTGGGACGCGTTACAGTCAGGCAGGCAGCTGGTGTTTCCAGTCTCTAAGCCAAGGGTCATTCTCCCCAGACTGAGACGCGCGACCGGCAGGGGTCCAGGCTGGGCCTGCAGCATCCCGCCGCGAGCAGAAGCCCCAGACCCCAGGGGAGACCCCGAGTGGAGACCCTGGCTGGAGACACCGGCTGGAGACCCCTCGTGGAGACCCTGGGTGGCCACTCGTGTGGAGATCCCGCGTGGACACCTCACGGGGAGACCCCGAGTGGAGATTCCGGCTGGAGAAGCCAGGTGGAGACCCCGGGTGGACGCCACGCACGGACACCATCGGTGGACACTGCGTGGAGACCCCGGGTGGACATCCTGCGTGGAGCCCACGTGTTCGATCACTGTTCCCTCCCGGTCCCCGCAGACCGAGCTGGCGGCGCGCGGCGGGCACCCCGGAGCTCCCAAGTCAGCCAGGGCGAGAAGGAGCGCAGAGCCGCGGGGAGCGGACGCGGCGATCGCCGCCCGGGGAGCCCGGAGCCCGGCGGGACCCGACCGTCCCCACCCCAGCCCTCTCTCTTACCGGCCGAAGCCGCGGACGAGCGCAGTCCTGGCCGCGCGCGGAGACACTGAGCGCCGTGCGGGCCGGAGGGGGCCTGGACGCCGCCGCCAGCCGCAAGTTTCCATAAAAGTCCCGGTGCGCGGCCGCGCATTCCTCCCGCCGCAGCTGCTGCCGCCCCGCCCCGCCCGCCGCGCCGCCCCCGGGCCCCTCCGCGGGACACGGCCGCCGGGCCGCCAAGCGCGCGTCTTCCACCCCGAAAGACTGCTTGACAGGAAAGTTGAAGGTGGAGGAGGAGGAGGAATTGTAAATTATAAATTCCACCTTTGGGATCCGCGCGCGCGCGCGCGTGTGTGTGTGTGTGTGTGTGTGTGTGTGTGTCCCTGAGGATCGAACCCAAGGCCTCTGCCCTGAGCTCCAGCCCCAGTCTTTATATTTTGAGGCAGGGTTTTGCTAAGTGGCTAACTTTGCCCAGGTTATGCAGCCTCCTGCATCGGCCTCCGGGAGTGCTGGATTCCAGGTCAGGGTCCTCACCACACCTGGATTTGCGCTGGGCTTCCTAATCTGCAGGAAGGCGCCCGGGACTATGAGGCCCCCAGAGAGAGATCATTCCAGTTGGGACCTCCGGTCTGCCGCATGAACCCCAGGGGTCCTCACTGGGGCTGATCTTGATTCTTCACTTTGCTTAAAAACGCCAGTAATCCTAGCACTCAGGAGGCTGAGGCAGGAGGATCACTGGGAGTTCGAGGTCAGTCTGAGCTACGGAGTGGAGCAAGCCCCTGTTTCAAAAAATCAAAACAAAAAAGCAAAAGCAAAACAAAACAAACAAAAACCCACAAAGGTAGACTGGAGGCAATAATCAGACACAAAGGAGACTCCTTCCGGCCTGGGCAGCAAGGACCTCCTTGGTGGTACTTGGGGAGGCTGAGCGGCCTTGTCCTCCGCCGGGAGAAATCCTTCCAAGACGGCCAGCCATACCCTCCGCTGCGCGGCTACCCCTCGTTCAACTGCATCTTGACGGCAGCCCTTATGGGATCCCCCGTTCAGGCCTTGCGCTGCCCAGCCCTGGAGAGAATCCCACTTCCCTCCCCTACTCCAGCCCCCTTCCCCCACTCCCTTCAGTCCTTCCCGGCTGGCCTGGGCCTCACCCTTCCCTGAAGACTGGCCCTGCCCAGCTGTTGGTCCGGGACTCACACCCCGCCCTTGTGCGCCCCCCAGTGGCAGAGCAGGTAAATGGCCTGTATGAGGTGAGTGATGGGGAAGGGGGTCAGGCTGGGCAAGGGCAGCTCTAGAATGCAGTGGCCAGAGAAGGCCTCACAGGAGGAATTCTTTCAGAAAGTGAAACCCAATATTTTTCTGTCTTTTTTTTTTTTTAATCCCAGGCTGGCCTTGAACTTGCAGGGATTCTCCTGCCTCTGCCTCCCAAATGCAGGGATTACAGGCATGCACCACCATGCCCAGCCTATTTTTCTGTCTTTTGTTTCTATAACAAAATATTCAAGGCTGGCAGCTGGGTGTGATGGTGCAGGTGTGTGAACCCAGCACTTTAGAGGCTGAGGCAGGAGGAAGGCCGTGAGTAGGACAGACAATCCAGGAGCCCAGTGGCAGGTGCTGCTAAGAGGCCGCTCTGGTGAGGGGACCCTGGTGGAGCCTCCAGGATGGCCCAGAGAGGGGAGCAGGAAATGTGGGCTCCCCAACTTGCAGACTTTGTCCCTTGGCCTGGCCACCCTGGGAACAAGGCCCACTGACACGGCTCTGTGGGGAGTGGCCGGCTCCTGCAGGTGAAGGTGTCTGGGGAGGAGTAGGCAGGGACATGGGTGACACTCTGGGGTCAGTGACTGTGACCAGCTGCTCTGGCCATGTGACGGGGCTGGAGCAGTGGGGGATGTGGGGCTGTTTCTGTGGGAACCCGAAGGAGGTAATGAGAGTAGAGTGCTCTTACCAATGTGAAAGACTGGGCGAAGGCTAGGCTAGCTCAGGGTACAGCGCCGGCCTGGCAAGCGTGAGGTCAGGTGTTTGACCCTCAGTACCAGACAAAATAAAAAGATCAAAAGATGGGTGACGAGTTTAAGAGTGACAGTGGTCCTGCATACACTGCTTCCCATCTGCCTAAGTCTCTCCCTCCTTCCTTCCCTTTCTGTCCTTTCCTTCCTTCCTTCCTTCCATCTTTCTTTCTTGGCACTGGGGATTGAGCCCAGGTGCTGAGCGGCATCCCCAACCGCATCCCTCTTTTTATTCTCCTTGCTGACACCCAGCGTTAGAAGAGGAAAGGTTTCGGCTCTCGGTTTGAGCGGTTCTGGTCAGCCAGCCACACAGAGGGCATTGCAGAGGAGAAACAGCTCATGGTGGGCAGAAGCAGGCGGATGGCAAGGCAGCAAATTAGTGAGGAAGCCAGGCTAAGGGGGCAAGCATCAATGTTCTCTCTGTCCTGGTGTCCTGTGGAGGCAGCACTTACACCTAGCATCCTTAACCCTAGTATCATGAATCAATCCCTACTCACACACCCTAGATCCAGCCAACTGACACAGGCCTGCTAAGTTCCCCTGACTGGGCTCCAACTTGTGAGGCTCCTGCCTCAGCCTCCTAGAGTGCTGAAGTCACAGGTGTGTACCAGCATGCCCAGCTGTGCCTTCTCTTTTAAAAGTCAAGGGTCTTGAAATCTTAGATGACGCTATATGCGTGTAGTCTTGCTAACAAACATCTTGAAATACAAAGTGAATATCTACTCCAAATGTAAGGGTTTGTGTCTGGATGTCCCCCCAAAATCTCATGTGGTCACGGAGGGGCCCTTTTCAGAGGTGACTGGATCTACAGTGACTAGTTCATTGTCTGGTGCTGGGACTGGAGGTGTGACAGCTGTGCTCACTCCAGGGAAACTACACCCCATTTTTTGGGGGGTGGTAGTGCTGGGGATTGAACTCTGGGCCTTGAGCATGCTAGGCAGGTGCTCTGCCACTGAGCTACATCCCCGGCCCTCACTCCCCTTTTTGCTCTGCTGCTTTTGCTGTCATCTGGCATGGACTGCTTCCCCTGTGCCACGCCACCCTGCCTTGCAGCCAGCCGGGTGTGGGCTGAAACTTCCACAAACTGTGAGCTAAATAAACCTTCCCTCCCCTAACTGTGGGCGTTGTTTGTCTCAGCAAGGGGAAAAGTAACTTAAGACACCAACCGAAAGCTTCCGCGCCACATCAAAAGACACGCCAAAGAATGTACATTTACTGGTGCAAAATCAAAATAACTGCGTTATCTAACTCCCTGCAGGGGAGTCTCGCCAGCAGGGAGACCCCTAAGGTGTCACTCCCGGTTCTCCCACGGGTGAGGATCGGCCTCTGTGACCCACAGAGCGCGCACTGCGTCCTGAGTACGCAGGAGGCTGCTGAGGACCGAGGAACCCGCTGGCGCCCCGACGCCTCCTGCAGGGACTGCGAGCCCAGCTCCGCCTCGCCGCGCAGTCACGGAGCGCGGGTGCGGGCGACACCGGGCTCCAGCCACTGGGGCCACCAGAGCCCCGCGCACGGCGACTCGCACAGCACGGAGCCCCAGCTCCCGGGCGCGGGCCACGCCCTCACCAGCGCCCGGAGGGGCCTGGCTCTGCGACCCCAGAGGCCCCGCAGGGCGCGGGGCGGGGACAGCGGGAGCCACGCCCCTCCCGCCCCCTCCCACGCCGGGCGCGCGCTCCCCGCGGGTCCCGCCCTGCGCACGGCTCGGCACCGACGCCCGGGTTCTCCCCGTCCGCCGGGAGCAGAGGCCGAGGAGCCCCGCGGGCCGCAGGCGGCGCAGCTGGCACGGAGCGGGGTGCGCTGCGCCGCGGAACCAGAGCGCCAGAACGGGGACGGGGACGGGGACGAGCGGGACTCCTGGAGGCGCTCAGGGCCCGGCTCTGGCTCAGGCCACTGCGCAGGCTGCGGGGGCGGTGAACGGGACACAGAAAACTTGCGCATGACACATGGTCGGGTCCCTGCTTCGCCCCGCGACAACTCTCGACCCAGTCAGGAAAAGACTGCACCTAACTTTGTGATTTGCACGTTAAGTAACACATTGTACTTTATATGCTTAATTTTAAAACTTTTGAAAAACTTTTTAAAAATGGAGGCTAAACCGGGTGCAGTGACACGAGCCTGTAATCCCAGCACCTGGGAGGCTGAGGCAGGAGATCTCTGCGAGTTTGAGGTCTGCCTGGACTACATAGTGAGTTCAAGGCCAACCTGAACTACATAGCAAGACTCACTTTCAACAAGGGGAAGTGTAGCCTGGGATTTAGCTCAGTGGTATAAGCGCCTGCCTTGCAAGTGCGTGGTTGTGAGTTCGATCCCTGGTACCAAAAATAAATAAAAACAAGGGGAAGAGTGGCTAAGTTAGACATACATGCACCCTAGCACTTGGAAGCTGAGGCAGGAAGATTACAAGCTCAGTGACAGCCCACATAGTGAGACACCCACATAGTGAGTACCACCATCGAAAGAAAGGGAGGTGGGTGTGTTGCCTGGTGGTGGACACTTCAGACAAGCAGAACACTCTGGGCTCAACCCTCAGTACAAAAAGCCTAAATCTATAGTTTTATCTATGGAATATATATTTAATTGGTCTTAAGTATTTCTCAGCAGACCCAAATGAGGTCTAGGTGAACAGTTTCTGCACCCGCCGTCAGATCAGGTCAGCGCGGGAGGAGCGGCCATGTGTACTGAGGGGCGACGCGGGCTCCACCTGACGTTTCGTGCTGTTACTGCCTGAGACACTGGGTTCCTCACAGAGGCATCCCTGTCTTGGGGTCTGCACACAGGGAGTCCCGCAGTTACACCCGACTTCACCCCCGCGCAGCTGCCTGCGACTTGGGGCTCGCAGATGTGGTTTTCTCTGACAGCAAAGGGGCTACGGACACAGTGACAACTTTGCACTTAGAAGCACTGTGTAAAATATGCAGCCTGAGGGGGGCGTGGCGGTACAGCCTGTAATCCCAGCACTCGAGAAGCTGAGGCAGGAGGGTCACTGAGGCCAGCTGGGCTACATAATGAGTTCAAGGTCAGCCTGAACTACATAGTGAGACCATCTCCAAAAAACCCCAAAAACCTACAATTTTAAAAAGCAAGCAAACAAAAACACAAGAAGCCATGTATCACTGAGATGTATCATTGCTTTTTTATTTGGCAATAGTAGAAATACATCCATTTTAATAGTGCTCATTTTGGCTACAGAGCACTGTTTTCTGCTACTGTAGTGTTTTACATAATGAGTTCAGTCCTTACATTTTAGAGACAGATACTGTATTTACTGACACAGCCAAGGGAAGCCAAAACACAGCTGTTCTAAAATCAAAACAGTAACACAATGCACTAATCACCAGGAAGGTGAGGGTTCCTTACTTCCTTATTTATGGCACACTATATAAATTTTTAAATCTCACATATGTATTTCTTAATTTGATGAGTCCAAGTTCAAAAACAGAAGACATGAATTCAGCCTAATTCTTAAAATCACTTTGAAATTTCCATCCCAAGTGATTTCTGAACACCTGTTCACATTAAAATAAAAAACATGACTTCAGTTCTGTTTGTGAAAGGTCATGGGGAAGGATATTAAATATTATTCTGGCATTTCTATTTCCTAGGCCTCAAGAAATGATCCATTAAAGTTCATTTGGAAATTAACTTGAAAGGTTACATCTTAAGGCAAGAAAACATCCGTAAATACTTTTGACAGTCAGCTAATTCAACGAATAGGCTCACAGTGAATGAATGCAGATGAAGAACACTATTCTAGGAGGAAAAGTTCCTTAGCGCAGACTCCAACAATATGGAAAAGTTGCTTTTTACAAAGGTGGTGCTATTTTCACGTTTAATAGACATACTGTTAACCTTTGGGCAGGAAGACCTGCTTATAAGTATAGAGGAACCAAAACAGGGAAAGGAAGTATCAGATAATTCGTTTTCCTCGAGACGATGACAGCGTCTCCTTTCCAGGACTGATGGCTCTGCCACCTCACTGGAGAGGGTGGGTGATTTTCTGATGGTCTCACCAGCAGCCTGAAGGTACGTGGCTACTTTAACTGTTTTTATTTTGTGAAGCACTGTTTTTGTTGCTTAATCTTTTTAAAGCAAATGAAAACTGCCTTCAAGTACCCTTCTGCAGTGGTTCTTCTCCGGAAGACATTTCCTTTAAAAAAATCCATAAATTCATAAACTGGGTGTGGTGCCACACACCTGTATTCCCAGCACTCGGGAGGCTGAGGCAGGAGGACCACTGTGTGTTTGAGGCCAGCCTGGGATACAGTGAATTCAAGCCCAGCCTGAACTACATAGCAAGACCCTGTCTCAGAAAAATAAAAAATGAAATAGAAGTCTGAAGGGAGGGTAGAGGAGTGGGGAAGAAAATAGGAATCAAATTGTGTCATTATAGGTACAAATTCCTATGATGGATGTGATCATTATGTGGATCCAAAATGTGCCAATACAATCTTATTTTTTAAAAAGTCATTTTTACTTACAATACAGAGGTTCTTCCTTAAAATGATTGCCCAGAAATTCCATTTGGTCATGTTTCCTTTTTTGTCAAAGGCCACAAAGAAAGTATCTCACTAATGTAATTACTGAACTAACCAGAAACTAATCAAACTGAAGCACTGAATTTGACAACCTCCTAAAGATTGGCCAAAATTATTTTGCTGAAATTTGAAAGAAAAAACAAGTCAGGTTTTGTGGTGCACATCTGTACTCTCAGCACTTGGAAGGCTGAAGCAGGAGGATTGCCTTGAGTTCAAGGCCAGCCAGAGCTACATAGTGAGTTCAAGGCCAGCCTGAATGCATAGTGAGACTGTCTCCAAAGAAAAAGTGAAAAAGAAGAAAGGAGGAGGAAGAAAGAGGAGGAAAAAGAAGCAAAAAAAAAAAAAAAAAAAAAAAAGCCAAGAAGAACACAAAATAAAAACCAGAGTAAAAATCTTTCTAGGAAGTCACTTATCTGACAAAATAAATTCCCCAACAAATTACCTTATCTAGAAGTAGCAGCATTATTAAATAGTGCAATTTTTCAAGTGATTTTAAACAGTATCTTTCTCAAACAACAACAACAAAAAAAAATGAAGCTTATTCATAGCTTTATGAAACCACACACAAAACATTTAGCCCTGAAACGAGTAAACTAATGAGCAGTGAGTGTCCTGCCTCATGCAGGTGGGAGTGTGACAGGGTACAGTGAGCACTTGTGTGCACGTGTGAGTGTGTGTGTGTATATGTTTCATTCAAGGTCAGTATACTCAAACAGGGTCAAACAGCTAAGTAATAAAAAGCAAAGCATTACATAATGGAATCTTTCATCCTCTATCAGTAAAAACCGAGTAGGCAACTGTTAAAACACAGAATAAGAAACTTCAGGGCAGGGTGTGGTGGTGCACTCCTGTAATCCCAGCACTATGGAAGCTGAAGCAGGAGGGTCGCCATGCCTTTGAGGTCAGCCTGGGCTACGTAAGTGAAATCAAGGCCAGCCTCAAATACATAGCGAGACTCTGTCTCAAAACAACAAAACAAGTGCAAAACAAACAAATAAGAAAATGTCAAGGGGCTAAATATTCTAAAACAATCAGAATAATACTTTATAGCGTAATGTTCTAACCTGTATAGTACATTCAAAACTGCACGATTCTCCATGTTGTACCTTGTAGTCACTTCACATAACTGTGGTACATACACAAACTTATAATCTTAAAAAGTAAACCTTTTTTCACATTTGCTACTGTTCATTAGTCTGAAACTAGGCACTTCAATCTAAAAATACATTTTAAAGTAATGCTTTTCAGATCCATCTATGTCACTCACTTCTAAAGTGAATAAGCCCACTTTAGAAGCAAAATCGACAAATGCAATTCACCAGGAGGCTGAGTCAGCCACCTCAAACGAGTGAGATCATAATTTAGAAGCAGAATCTATGCAGCTCAAAGCTTCTAATATACTCTGAAGAGAAGTCTCACTAGAACAGCCCACTTGTTCATGTATTTATCATAAAGACACAAAATATACTTTCATATCATTAAAAATATTTCATTCTATATCAGAAGAGAAAAAAAAAAGCCTTCCCTAAAACCTGTTTACCATCCACAGTGTGGTTATTTTAAAAATATGGGCAAAACTGACCATATGGAGCTCCGTGGGTCAGCGAAAGGGCCATTCTGCGGGAGGAGGAAGGAGAAATTGTGTTAAAATTTTAAGTTCAACATCTTCAGGTGTTGGGAGCCAGGCTCAAAATTCATCCAAAAAGGGAAAAATTTAAATTACCTTAATAAACAAATATTGTATTTTAAATTAATATTCACCCAAGATTACATGAAGTTAATTACTCAAGTCTCTAGTGTAATTTAGGGCTGGGGATATAGCTCAGTGGCATGGTTCCTGCCTGGCAAGCACGAAGTCCTGAGTTTGATCCCAGCACCATAACAAAAACAAAAACAAAACCCTCATCTAGTGTAGCTTCTGAAGACGAAGAATTGACAGATTTTTTTAAAACTACAGTTAATGGAACATAAAGTTGTAAATTGTAAACTTCTCAGTGTCAGTTCATTCAAATGCGTTACAGCAACACTCAAGTACTACAACTTGTTTGATGCCAATACAGGGGTAAGTGCATGGACGACAGCTAAGCAGCACACAGAAAGCATCGTGCGGCATCTACTCAGCGCGACCCCACCAAGTGGAAGACGCTTTCAGGCACCGCTGGGTGTGCGGCGCCGGGTCACCTCCAGCGGCCGCGGGTGTTTTCAAGATGCAAAGCATAAAACCAGCTTCTGAGAGGACAGCGGGTGGTCGGAGACCTGAGGGCTCAGCGATTCTCTCTGAGTGCTGGCGGCACCGGAGCACTGTTCTTAGGAAATACAAACAATTCCGACTGAAGTGACTCCCGGAGGACACGGGGAGGACCCTGGACACACGATCAGGGACCCAAGGACCAGTCCCTTGCTGCCCACTCGACGCACTGGGCTTCCCTGAGCCCCATCCTCCAGTCCGCTCCCAGTTATGCACGCCAGGCCGTGGCCACCACAAGGCGGCCTCTCGCTGTGCTCACTGCACTTTGGCCTACACCAGCCCCGCGGGCACCAGGGGGCTGTGGCCGCCCAGGCAGCCGCTGGCGTGGCGCAGGGCGTCGGCGCCCAGGTAGGCCAGCAGCAGCTCGGTGCGGCGCAGCAGCAGCTGCAGCAGGTCCTCGGCCAGCGCCTCCACGCTGGCATAGCGCACCTTCTCGAAGTCGAAGATATCCCTAAGAAAGGCCAGGACTTGATTCTGCAAGAGAACACAAAGCAGACCTGCGTTCATCACAGCAGAGCCCGGCAACGGGAAGAATCGTGTGCAAGCACCCTGAATGTGGGGGGAAATGCCTGGGGCCCAGCGCTGCTTCCAGACCTCAGTGGAAAAGGGGTCCTGGGAGACTATTTAAACCCTTGTGGGCCCTATTTTACAATTTCCTCTTAAGACAGGTACAGGACCACAGGCCTATTTACTCCTCCACAAGCCAGCCTCTCGGAAACGCCCACAGCCCTTCCTGTAATGAGGCTCCCAAGTTCTGGCCTCCACTGGAGAACCAGCTGCTCCCTGCAGCCACAGGAATCTCTGGGAAGTGCACGTTCTGTACAAAAAACATAAAAAGAAAAATAATGTCCGGCCTCAAGGCAGTGGAAAAGCTCAGCATTTCCTACCACCTAAGGTCATCTCATGCTGAAACTCACTTTAAGAGAGCTGCACTCTATTCCACCACCCGGGTGTGAAGGAAATCACTCCAAAGAGTAAAAAGCAGGAATACTTAACATCGGTCCTTCAGAAACAGGCGTTAAAAAGGACTAAAAATGCACATATGGCAGAGTCTCTGGGTTTCACATCTGGAAATATCTCCAGCAATCCGCAGCCAGGTGCCCTCCCTTCACAGGGAAGGAGGAAGAGGAGCAGAGGGTGCCGGTCCAGGTCAGCTCGGTCCGCTCTGCTCTGCCCCAGCAGCACCAGCCTCAGTCAAGTCTTCTACTCTTCGCTCCTTGATACTCAGCTCCAACCTAAGCCTAGTAACTGAAGACTGCTAACAAGGAGGTTTTACACTGTCACGTTTGCGACTAGGAGGCCCCAAGGCCTGATGCTGTCAGGGAGAAGGCTGAATCTAGCTTTGTGATTGGTTTGTTGTCTAGCACTGGGATTGGTGGTGTGAGTGCTGGACCCGCCCAGGGGTAGAGCCAGCATACAATATAAAGGAGGGAAAGCCTGGCCTCTTTTTGCTTTTTTGCCCTGTTCCCTCTTGCTGTTTGACCTGTGCCCTGCCACCCTGTCTTGGAACCAGCTAAGTATGGACTGAAACCTCCAAAAATTGTAAGATAAATAAACCTTTCCTTCCCTAATTTTGGGCATCCGGTATTTTTGTCTCAACAATGAGAAAAAAGTAACCAAGACACACTGGGAGCTCCCATCTCTGTTCAGCAAACTAATGCTTGACAGTGGGCCACTTCCTTTGGCTCCATTCACTTTTCACCACATGGGTCTGGCACACTTTTCACTTGAGCCAGGTCCTGGCTCCGTACCAATGTGTGTGATACACAGGTGTGCACTGCCTACAAACTGGAGGATTCAGGCATAAAGAACACCCTGTCCATAGCACTCCAACCACGGTGCAGCAAGACCAGGATGGCAGTGACCGAGCCGACGAGGCGCATGGGCTTGGTGACTCTATTCCCGCACAAGGCATTAAGTCCACTGTAGAAAGCACTGGGCTATTACAGTGCCAGAGGAGTTCTGAATCGCCACTAATTTAATACTGGCATTTAAACACTGGATCTAGGTGAGACTGTAACCTTTTCTTTTTTGAGACAAGGTCTCTGTACTTCAGGCTGACTTTGAGCTCATTGTTTATCCCAGACTGTCTTGAACTTGTGATCCTCCAGCCTTAGCTTTTGATGTGCTGAGACTTCAGGTGTGCATAACACTCCTGGCCTCTAACTTAACCTTTAATTGACACTTTTAAATAAATTATTCCTTCTATAAAAGCAAAATAAAACAGAATAAAACCTTACCCACTTTTTGATTTAGAAAAAAATACGCAATGAACATACCTTGAAGAAACAACATAAGTCATAGAGAGAATTTCTAGGACCCAAAAAGCCCCAGGCCAGGACAGGACTTATGTGCTCACAAATGGCATAAAAATGGGCAAAGAACCCATCTGGGATCTGTTGGGAAGTAAAAGAGAATCTGGTTATTTCTATCTCTTTGTACTTCTTCCTCTAGTAGACAAATTCAAACTATTATCCATTATATAATCCCTCCCCAGGACTGGGATTGGACCCAGATCCTCCCACTAAACTATATCCCTAATTTTTTTAAACCGTTTGAAACAAGGCCTTGCTAAATTGCTAAGTGGCCCAAATGGGCTTGACCTTTTGGCTCTCCTGACTCAGCCTCCCAGAATGCTGGAATTATACACATGTATACCATGCCTGGCTACAATCAACTTTTTTCTGAGGGTAGGCCAAAGGTCACTCATGAGCCAGCCTATTAAACATTTTAATACACGCACAAGCAACATTTAAGAGTACACGACTGTTTATATATGGAACTCATACCTCAGCAAAGTTTCAAATGTGCTGAGTTTTTTCCAGAACTGGGGACTGAACGCAGGGCCTTTACATTATGTTAAATTCCTAGCCCTTTTTAACTTTTTATCTGGAGATAGGGCCTTTCAAACTCACTAAGGCACACAGGCTAGGTCTGACTTGCACTTCTGCCTCAGCCTCCTAAGTGCTCAAATTACAGGCGTGTGCCACCATGTCCAGCTGAAAGGTTATTCTGCTAAGGGTATTTTCACCTCTTAAAAATATGGCTTACCCAAAATGCTTAGAGCCAAAAGTACTTCATATTTTTTCCCCAATTTTGAAATATTTGCATACACAATGAGATGGACATCTTGGGAATGAGATATCAGTCTATACCCTAAAACATATGCGTGTTTCCTGTGTTCCTTACACACACAGCCTTACACACACAGGCTGAAGGACTTGCACACAGCACTTCTACACACTAACACTCAAAGCAGCTCCGTGTGAAATCCTCCACCGACAGCATCAGACTCTCAGAACCTTTCGGATTTTTTTAGCATTTCAGACTTTGGATTTTCAAATCAGGGATTCTCAGTCTCTGCTTCTTAAGCAAACAATTGCTGTGTTGGAACCCAGCAATGACAACTACGCTAGTGTCTCTGAGCCCTGTCACTTTCAGGAGTATTGTGACTCCCATGGTTTCAACTTTTTAACCAAAAAATACTAAAACAAATTTAAGATGGTTAAGCACTGAATTATGCTTAGAAACCTAGCTCTCTTTTTTATTTTTATTTTTTTGGTTTTTTCAGAGAGGGTCTCACTATGTAGCCCAGGTTGGCCTCAAACTCACAACGATCCTCTTGTCTCAGTCTCCCAGGTGCTGGGATTCCAGGTGTGTGCCACCACCCCTAGCATTTAATCAAAAAATCCAATATTATTTAAGCATTTAATTGTATAGTTACCTCCTGGTATATATATATTTGTGCCTTGGAAAACTAAGTCTACCAGTAGCTTTCTGAATTTCAGGATCTGTCAAGAATCACTTACTGGGGCCCTCATGCCTTAAGACACTGTCTATTGAGGGATTCGTTTCTATTTTACAGTCTCTAGGACAATTTTTTAAACCCCAGAAAAACGTAAGCTAGCCAGCCATCAGGTGGGGCACATCTGTAATTCTAGAATGCTAGAATCTGAGGCTGCAGGCCCACAGGAGTTCAAAGCAAGCCTGGTAGTGAGACCCTGTCTCAAAAAACAGCAACAGGGCCGGGGGTTTAGCTCAGGGGCACAATCACCTGCCTGGCAGGCACAAGGTCAAGAGTTTGATCCCTGGTTCCAAAAAACAAAAACAAAAAAACCAGCAACAGCAAAAAAACAGTTATTTAACAAGTACTCATGACATTCCAGACAATACAGCAGGTCCTGTTTCATTTGCTGCAAAAGTAGGTCACATTGCCATCATTTTAAGTAAGCGACGCTTGAGAGGTTAAATAACCTGCTCCAAGGGCTGGGGGTTTAGCTCAGCGGCATAAGTGCCTGCTTTGCAAGTGTGCGGTCGTGAGTTCGATGCCTGGTACCGATAAAAAGGAAAAAGACAAAAATAAATAAATAAATAACCTGCTCCAAACCGCACATAGTTAGTGAGAGCACAAAGTCATGGGGACAGCAGCACTATTCTATGGAAGGCGTCCTGCACACACTACAGCTGCAGTGCTATTCTGTCTTAGGAGCTCAGAGATGCGCATGAGCCGAAAGGCAGGTTTTGGCAGGCGCTGAGCTCAGCGGTGCATACTTTCCTATAAGCACCGAGTACTCAGAAGTCCATGGACAGGCTTCTCAGGTGATTCACAGAGCAGCAGCTGGCCAGCCGTGTGCCTGTGATGGGCCACCCTGGTCCCCAAAGCAGCAGCTGGAGGAAAGGCCAGGGGAGACTCAGCTGAAGGACTGCGCCTTCGGCAGCCAGGGCCGCTGCTCCTCTCCAGCCAGGTCCCTTTTCTCCTTCCCGAGTCCAGCATCTCACAGCCCTTCTCACCTGGGGCACATCCTGAACCACCCCCCTCTTTCTGCCGCATCCTGCATCCCACTACAGCCACACAGCCAGGATCGGACTGCAGGAGGCAGCTTACCTTCATCTGCTGCCTCTTCTGCTTCAGCACGGACCAGCAACTGGAAGCCACCGCCTGGGCACGCGAGGGGAAAAGCGCTATTAGCTTTACAGCTGCAGAAATGCGTCCCTTAGAGCACTTTCCCCAGCACTCAGATCATGGTTCTAAGAAGCTCAGGCTATTAATTACCAATGAAAACTAGTCCAGGTGCCCTATTCTGTTTGGTTATATTCATTTTACTTTATTTTTTTTATCAGTTATATGTATTTTAAAGTGAAGTACAAAGCCATTAAGGGAAAAAGGCTGACTTGGGAGTGCCGGGAGCTTGCCAGTTACCGTGCAGTTCTCAAGAGTTCTTACTCTGCTGTTAAGGGGAAAAGTGAGAATATATGCATGTAGAATACACAAATATAAATGTTCTATGCATAATAACAAAGACCAAGTAATATTTTTTCCTTCAAGAATAGTATTGCTGAAATATTTGTGGATCAAGTTAAGACTTTTATTTAAGGTCTAAGAAATTACAATCCTAGGGGCTGGGGATTTAGCTCAGCAGCATAAGCACCTGCCTTGCAAGCAGGCGGTCGTGAGTTCGATCCCCGGTACCGATAAAAAGGAAAAAGACAAAAAAAAAAAAAAAAAAGAAATTACAATCCTGACAGGACAAAAAAAATAAAATTTCTTTGGTAGATCCTGGAGAGATACAACCCTCTTCTCACGTGACACTACTCTGAAGAGGGTCAGTACCCAAACAGCTACACACATGAAGGACATTCCTTAATTCAGGAAAAAGTGGGTTTATTAGAAATGCTTTAAATTTTAATATTACGAAGTTCCAAAATATCATGAAACTGCTAACTGGAAGATTTTTTTTTTTTGTCTGTATTTTTTTTTTTTTCATCAGTACCGGGGATCGAATTCACGACTGCCTGCTTGCAAAGCAGATGCTTATGCCGCTGAGCTAAATCCCCAGCCCCTTTTGTATTTTTGAGACAGTGTCTCATTCTGTAATTCAGGCCAGTCTTAAACTCACTTACATAACCCAGGCTGGTCTTGAACTCATAACAATCCTCCTGCCTCAGCCTCCTGAGAACTAGGATTACAAGACGTGTGCTACCACCATGCCCAGCTGGAACATTTAAAAAACGCATTCAAATTTCATTTAAACATGATGCCTGTCCCACTTTATTTCTAGGTACACACATAAGATGTAATAAAAACCAATGCCAAAGAGCCAGGTATAGTGGCCCACACCTGTAACCTCAGCATTCGGAGGCTGAGGCAGGAGGACCGTTGTGAGTTCAAGACCAGCCTGGGCCATAAAGTGAATTCAAGGCCAGCCTGGACTGAATAGCAAGACCCTGTCTCAAAAAGACCCCCCCTCAAAAAAAAACTTCAATATGAAAAGAAATTGAAAACATAAAAATATAAAGTACAACTTATGCCAGTCATATTTTTGTACCTCTTTTTTCTCTTCTAATTTTTTACAGTATTTACAAACATGAATTTGGGGATTTTTTGTTTCATAACATATACTACTGCCATTTTTTTTTGTTTTGTTTTGTTTTTTTTGGTACTGGGGATCAAGCTCACAACCTCGAGTTTCACTACTGCCATTTTTAAAAAGTGTAACTGCCATATGTCAGCCAGGTCATGCAGCCGTTTCTGTCAGGGTGGCTTCTATGAGGCCTACACTAATCTGAATCCAGATTTCTGTAGAGACCTGAAGAAATCAATCCTCAGTCCTAAGGACAAGGGCTAGGTGGCCAAAAGGAGAATTCACACCACAGCATGCGTCCCGTTCCCCACCCCATCATCCCACAGGCAAAGGTACAGCGTGTGAGAATCCCACTCATCTTCCCACTTTTCATCAACATTGAATGGCCACAAAAGGCAAATCACCACTTACAGTTTTTTTGAAGGAAGACTTTATCCAGCGATTATTTACTACATCCTGTATGGACATGGGGGGGTTTTCTAAATCTTCAAAGGAATCCATTAATATAAAGTCCAAAACAACATCATAAAAATTGAGATTTTTCACCTGCATTAAATTGTGAATTAGAAATAAATCATTATTATAGAAAGTGGACATAAAATCTGAGCTAGGACTTCATTCTTTGTAACAGTGGGTGTTGTTGTTATTAAATAAAACTATTTCTGATAAAAGGAGGAACAGAAGATAAATCTGAAAACTTGCCACTAGGAAGCTTGGTTCACATGGCAGGAGCCCGGCTCTAGGGCTGTCGCAGGGAAACTCCTTCCCCTCCTCTCCATGGCGGGGGCCTGTCTGCCCCTCTGACCCGATCCTCACTCCCACACGCCCTGCTGCATGGACCTGGGGCACCCCCAGGCTCCCACGGCTGCCTGGAGGCCCTGATAGCACACTAAGGAATCCCACCAGCGCCCGGGCACAGATGGGGTTCCACACAAGCAAGCAGCGGGAAATGTGTCTGAGAGCTGGAGGTGAGGAGTAAGCTGGAGGCCAGAGCTTTCTGCAGGGAAAGAGGCTTCCAGGGAGAGGAAAGGCCCGCCACAGGCTTTGAGACAAGGGGGAGCAAAGTAGGGGGCTGGGGTTGTGACTCAGTGGCATAGTTCCTGCCTGGCAAGTACAAGGTCATGAGTTCCATTCCCAGTACTTCAAAAGAAAAAAAGTGGGTGGGGAGGCGAAGGAGCTGAATTCAAAGTGAGCCACAGCGCCCCACCTTACAAAGCATAGGGAGAGAGGCGAGAAACCCACTGCTAGGCCAGGTCCTGCAGGGCGGGCAGCTGGGCACATGTGCAGGGATCCCCATTTACCCTCCATGACCCGGCCGGGCTGCTACGGTGCTGGGGAGATGGGTGCTGGCTTCTCTTTCAGATCTTATTGGGTCAAGTGTGGTGCTGCAGCCCTGCAACCCATGCAGTCTCAGAAACAGGCAAGAAAAGGGTAAGTTCAAGACCGGCCTGGGCAATTTAGCAATACCCTGCCTTACAGTAATGATAAGAAAAGATGGGAGGCGCAGCTCCGTGGGCACGGCAGCGAGACAGAAGCCTCCGCTGCAAGGGTTGATCTGCGCTGTTTTGCTGTTATGCCCTCTTTTTTCTCAATCTCCACTCCATTATTTACTTTTTTATTTTTATCCGTTTAATTAAAGGGGAAAAAATAGCAGGATATAATATAGTAACCCACTTTGACTTTCTATTATCTCGATTTGAAGCCCTGTATTACTCTCACCATCTTGTTTTTGACTGATGTTCCCCTATTCTGTTTTGATGGATAGTATCAGGTTCAAAAGTTTAGGCATCAGCTGAGAAGATAATGAGATTCATTATAACGCCCATTCTCGTTGACTTTTATCTACTTTTGAAGACCTACAATGTCTCCAGTGTTTTGGTTTTGTCGGTTTTGTTCTTTACTATTTTGTTCAATTGTATTATAACTAATGATATAGGCAATTCTATTAGAGATAGCGGGAGGCATTATGGTAACCATTGATGATCACCTTGTATTATGTTTTTATATTATCTATTATGTCCACCCTTTTGACTTGACCAATTCTGTCCTGTTATGTCTCATTTGGTTTTACTCTCTTCCAAAAAAGCAATAAGAACCGTGGGAGCAATGAAACCCAAAATGTGTAATAGTCATTGTACAAAAGAGAGGAAAAGAAAGTGCTCTAAACTATATAACTGCATGTATATTTAAGTGTATAAGATAGAAAATGATATCACAGAGTTTTATTGGATCATTGAACAGAACTGTTTGCAGTATCATTGTTGGAATGTCCACTCTACAAGCTTTAATTTTATGACTTGAACAATTATTTTTAAGATGGCAATATGTAATCCATTAACTAGTGATTTCCTACTGTTCATTTTTTTCTTCTGTAAATCTGTATAACTTGTACCCTTTCGCTTTTTTTTTTCTTTTCTCCTTAAATAAATTAAAAAAAAAGAAGTTGGAACCGAGCAACTGTATTGTGAGAGCCAGAAAGAGCTCAGGGGATCAAGCACCAGGTGACAGGAAGCTGGGAAAGTGCAGAGACAGCTAAGCACTGCCAGGAAAGAAAGCAGGCACATCGGGTCTGGCAAAGCGAGGGGAAGCGCCAGTGCGCACCTGCGCTGTGGGGCTGGATAAGCAGCCCGGGGGCTGCTGCGTGGAGTCTACTGCGGTGGCCTCCCGGGTTCTCCCGCTGGGGACGACTCTGCGGGGTCTCGGGCCACACCCCAAGGGGCAGCTCTCAGGCACTGAGAGGGACAGGCAGGAATAGTGCTTCTCAGCCCCAGCGCCCAGCACCCAGGCTCCCACCCCGCAGAAAAGTGTGTGCACCAGCCCACGGGCGGGAGTCTTGGGCTCTTTTTTCATTTTTCCTTTTTGTCTTTTTATTTGTTTGTTTGTTTGAGACAGGGTCTTGCTGTGCAGTTCAGCCTGGCCTTGAGTTCATTTTGTAGCGTAGGCTGGTCTTGTGTAGCCTAGGCTGGTCTTATGCTCGCAATGATCCTCCTGTCTCAGCCTCCCAAGTGCTTGGATTACAGGTGTGAGCCACCATGCCCGGCTAGTCATTTTTCCTTTTTTTTTTCTATTTTTTTTCTCTTTTCTCTACATGTCTTTACTTTGTTATCATCTCACTTCTATTTTTTCCTTTTCCCACCCCTTCCACATTTTATTATTATTGTTTTTCACTTTTACTAAAACATAGCCTTTTGCTTTATATTATTACTACCATTTCTTTTCTGTGTAAACTGCAGCACAGTTGTTGCTTTTAACTGGTCATCACCGTATGTCAATATCTGGCTTGTCTGGGGACACAGCCCTCTGAAGAAGGTCGGTCACTAACCAGCAACACAGGTGAAGGCAATGAAAAGTTAAGAAATTCATTTTTTAAAAAATCTTTTTAAGACAGGGTATAACTGTGCAGTTCAGACTGGCCGTGAGCTCATTTTGTAGCTCATGCTGGTATCAAACTAGCAAGGATCCTCCTGCCTTAGCCTCCCCAATGCAGGGATTATAGGCATATGTCACCATGGCCAGCTGTTTAAAGATTCTAAAGAAGAACCCAGGCTGGGAATTTAGCTCAGTGGCATAAGCACTGTCTGACAAGCGCAAGGTCATGAGTTCAATCCTTGGTACAAAAAACAAAAAGAACCCAACAGGAATCTTGGAAATGAAAAGCTCAGTAAGTTAAATTAAGAACTCAATGGAATGACTAGTCAAACAGAAGATGGAATTCTGAGCTTGAAGACAAAGTTGATGAATTATCATACAAGGAACATAATAAAGAAAAAGATGTCAGAGGAATAAAATGTCTAAGAACTCCGGGACACTATTAAAAGACCAAACCTATGAAAGTTTGCTGTAGAAGAGAGTGGAGATGTGCAGATTAAAGGCACAGAAAATCTACTCAATCAGGGATAGGGCCTTGGCTCAGGGTTAAAGCTCCTGTGTAGCACTGTAAGGGCCAGGGTTCAATTCTTAGCAAAGGTAAGAGGGAGGAGGGATGCAGGGAAGGAGGGATGGGAAAGGAGGAGGAGAAGAAAAGGAGGAAGGAAAGGATGGGTGGATGGGTTCTGTAAAACAACACCAGAAAACTTCCCGAACCTTGGGAAAGATACAGACATCCAGTACAGGAGGCATTTAGAACCTCAAATAGGCATGACCAGAAAAAACTCTCCCCACATCACTTTACAGTTAAAATGTCAAGAGTACAGAATAAGGGAAGAGTCCTGGAAACTCCAGGACAGCAACAGCAAATCACTTGTGATATGACAGGGCACCTATCAGAGTAACTACAGGGTCCCCTGCAGAGACTCTTAATGGCCAGGAGGGCATTGGAGTAATGACTTTTTAAATTGTTTTTTAGTACATCTCCACACTCTTCTACACCACACTTTCATAGGTTTGGTCTTTTAACAGTGTCCTGGAGTTCTTAGACATAGTGAGACATAGTGACACAGAGTCTCACTATGCAGTTCAGGCTGTCCTTGAGCTCCCTTTGTAGCCCAGACTGGTCTTGAACTTGCTATGATCCTCCTGCCTCAGCCTTGCAAGTGCTGGGATTACAGGTGTGTGTCACCACACCTGGCTGGAACAATGGATTTTAAGCCTTGAAAGAAAATAACTGCCAAGACAGGTTACTATATCCAGCAAATCTATCCTTCAGTACCAAGAAATAAACACCTTCTGAATAAGCATGCAAGGAATTCATAACCACAAAGCCAGCAGTGCAGGATATACTTAAAAGAATTCTACACACAGAAGAGGAAGAGTAGATAAGCAAATAAAAATTAGGGAAGAATTAACAGTTAGAAAAACAACAAAATGAAAGGAATTAGGGCCTATCTTTTTACTCTGAATGCAAAAGGTCCTAATTTACCAATTAAAAACATAGTCTGTGGACTGGATTAAAAAGTGAGACCCTTTTGATCCTCAGCACCACAAAAACAAAACAAAACAACCCCAACCCTTTTCAGTCTGCAAGAAACACACCTTGCCAGCACAAACATACAGACTGAAAACAAACGGATGGAAAACAATATTCCATGCAGGTGGGAATAGCTGAAGTGACCCACTAAGATATGAAAATTATAAATATATTTATGTCCTGGGCACTAGTGCACCTAATTCCATACCACGAAGACTACTGACACAGCCCCCAGTACAGTGATAGTGAGTGGTTTCAATGCTCCACTCTTCTAGACAGGTCATCTAAACAAAAAAACAGCACTCACATCAGAGGTAAACTATACCTTGCATCAAGTGGATTTAACAGACGTCTACATAACATTCCACCCAAGACTGCAAAATGAGAAGGAAATCAGGAAAATAATGCCATTTGTCACAGTTTAAACAAAACTCAGGAATCCACCTAACCAAGGAAGTGAAAGATCTCAACAATGAAAAGTACAGAACAACGAAGAAAGAAGGTGAAGAAGACACTAAAAGATGGAAAGAAAGACTGCTCATGTTCATGGATCAGCACAATATATGTTGTTAAAATGGGCATGTTACAGACAGGTTCGATGTGATCCCCATAAAAACACCAAGGACTTTCTTTAAAGAACCAGAAAAAACAATCCCAAAGTACATATGGAAACACTAAAGACCTACACTAACCAATCCTGAACAAAAGGAAGAATCCTGGAGGCATTACAATACCCAGTTCCAAAATGTATGATGAACCCACAATAAAAGAAAAGTTTGGTACTGGCAGGAAAAACAGGCACAGAGACAAATAGAAAAGAACAGAGGACACAGGAGCCAATGGAACCAACATCATTTGATTCTCGGCAAAGGGGCCCAAAACATACATGAAAAAAGACTCTTTAATAAACGGTGCCAGGAAAACTGGACATCCGTATGTAAAAGATCTAAACTGGTTTCCTTTCCTCACACAGAAACCAAATCAAAATTGATCAAAGGCTTTAAAGACTTGAAACTTTGAAACTGCCAGCAGAAAACACGGGGGAAACAGCTGAAGTCACAGCTACAGTCAAAGACTTCCTGATAGCTTGGGGAAATTAGAGCAAGAATCAACAAGGGTGGGCCTAGAGATGCAATTAAAAAGTTTCTGAACAACAAAGGACACAATCAAAAGAGTAAAGAGACAGCGTACAGAATGGGAGAACATCTTTGCCAGATACTCTTCTAACAGAGGACTAATGTCTGCAATATATAAAGAAAAAGGAAAAAAAGAAAAAGGGGGAAAACGCCTCAAATTACTCCCTCAATAAATGGGCACACGAATGAAACAGGCCCTTCTCAAGGGAAGAAGAAATGGCCAATTAAGAAAAATGGTCTAACACTTGGCCAATGCGGAAACGCAAATCAAACCTACACTGAGGTTTCAGCTCACACGGTCAGCATAGATCCGGAACACACACACTAATTGCTGGCGAGGACGCTTTATCGCTCCTGGTGGGAATGTGGATTGATTAGATTAGTACAGACACGGGTAGGGAGGCTCCTCAGAAAACCAGCACTAGAATGTCTCAGCATCCAGCCGCGGGGCTCCCTGGTACACGGAAGGAAGGAAGGAACTGGGGCAGCGTAGCCTGGGGTCACTTGACAGCCGGTGTACGGCAGCGCCCGCCACACCTCCACACCTCGGGCGGGCGGAAGCGCGCACCACTCAGCAGGGCTCGGCCACCTGCCAACGCTGGATGGCCGGAGATCAGCTGGGTGAGCAAAGTAAGCCAGAGCAGACGAGAACCCTACGTTCTCACGACGCGCGGAATCCAGAAAACTGCGCGCGGCCGGGGGATGAGGGGTGAGGGAGGGGACAGCGTGGGGTGCGCACGCGGGAAACCAGCCTTGCCGGCGCCCCGCGCACTGCAGGCGGGAGGGCGCCGGAGCAAGACGCAGGCAGGCAGTGGGGCAGAAAAACACTGGCACCGGCGGGGAAGGTAACAGGTCGCAGGCCGAAAGGGCCAGGAGGGCCAGGGAAAGCCGAGGAAATGAAGGTATCAGGAGGCGAACTCTCAAAGCTTGGAGGTGACAGTGAGAAAGCGGCCCAGGGCAGGAAAGGGTCAGGGTGAGCCTCAGCCCCGCAGGGCCAGACTGGGCTGGAGCGCGTTCTCCTAGTCTCTCTTGTGGCCCTCGCCTGCTCCTCCTGCCCCAAGGGGCCTAGCCTGCGCTTTCAGGGTACAGCTACGCCCCACTTCCTGAGCGGAGCTGAGGAGGCATCCACACACGCGGACCTTACACTGTGTCTGCTGGTGTAATCCTCTGCAAATCCTTTTTTTTTTTTTTTTGTACCGTGGATTGAACTCAGGACCTTGCGCTTGTCAGGCAGGCACTTACGCCTGCTGAGTTAAATCTCCAGCTGTAAATCCTTTCTTAACCACTCAGGGAATTCATGCAGAAAGCGCTGCCCCCTCATCTGTTCCAACCCTCTGCGACAGAATCTGGTTTTTGTGTTCTCTGTCAATTCCCCTGTCCAGTCCTGTGTAGGTGACCAACCCTGCTGCTCCACTGAGCTGCTGCTGCCCCCACCCAAGACAGTTCCTACTGCTGACTGACTTCTAAATGGAATGAGAGAAAGGTGAACGAAGGGAAGGAAGGATTTTTAAAAAGTATTTGTGTAACAATTCACCCAATGTAAAAAGGCCTAGTTTTTACTGTGTGTGTGTGTCTGAAGACTGCTGCCTTGCTTCCAATACAAATGGCTTTGGTTTTTGTCTTTTGTCTTTTCAGACAGGGTCTCACTGTATAGCCCAGGCTAACCTCGAACTCATAGCAATGCTCCTGCTTCAGCCTCCTAAGTGCTGGGATTATAGGCCTGCACCACCACACCCAACTCAATCTGTTTTACTGTCATTTAACAAAAACAAAGACATGTGACCTTAACTCATGTAAATAAGTGCAAACAAGGAAAGGGAATAAATATTATAAAACACTTGAATTACCCCAATAGCAGCGAGTTCCTTCTCAGTACTATCCCAGTGATCAGTCTGCTCTAAAAAATACATCATTTCATCAAAAACATCTTCAAACTTCTTTGGATTCTGTTAAAAAGAAAGAAGTTATTCTCCAAGCAAGTTTGCAAGATTTTATTATCTCAGATAAGCAAATCACGATACATTTTCAATGCATGCCAAATTTATTTCATTTACCCTTTTGCTGTAAAGATAATGCAGAAGTCAAGAATGAGAACATTAGCAAAGGTCACAGTGCACTGTTTATGATCAAATACATATGTCCGTGCTGGCCGGTCCGTGGCTACGGCATACCCTGCCAGTCCTTCTGCTGCCCCTCTGGAGGCCCCTACGCTCACCCCTGGCTTCATCTGCCAAGTGAAGACCAAGAAAGCCATGTAGGGTCTACAGTGGGAATTGACATCACTGCGACACCCTGACACTTACTTCCTGCTTTACAGTCTAAGCTGCTTTCCCATTCTCCACCGAGCTAATCACCACCACAGTCCTCTGAAACAAGAACAAATTCTACTGTACGAATGGGAGAACTGAGGCTGGAAGGGACTGGGCTGGAAAAGTAGGTGCAAAAATGGCTCACGAAAGACCTGTTTTGTTTTCATCATCTGGACAAATCTTACATAAAGTGGATCTCCACAGCCCAAATCAAGCTCTCGTTATTCTTTCTGCCTCTGTCATGCCATAAAGAGGAGGGAGAGGCAGCTCGGTTTGGATCCTACGGCCCCTTCCTTACAGGTGTAAGGAAGGTAACAGCAGTGGTACAGAGGTGTTGTATTAAGAGGTGATTCTAGAGATGAGGCTCATCATGACATCCACAGATTTCCTGGCAGACTGCAAGTAATTTAGGAGAAGCAGCTTGCTCCAAGAGTGTGGACTTAATACACAGAAAGTATCCAACCTAAGAAATCACTGCTCTTTGGGTTATTTTTAAAATGTGAACCTTTGTAACTATTTACATAACTTTTTTAACTATTAAAAATTTAATAATTTCAGCCTTCAGTTAAACCAAAACAGTAATAAAAGACTTACTAACAAAACAAGTTTACCTTTTGTGCTTTGACAATTAAAGCTGATAAAATTTTCCTTCCACTCTCAGCCAAGAATATCCTGTTGGATGTTTCTGAAAAAATTACCTAAAAAAAAAGGCATTCCCAAACAAAAGTAAAAAAGACATGTGAATCTGAGCAGCTAGCCAACTTCATAGCGGCTCATACTTCTCTATACACAAATCTGTAACACAGTCAGCGCACTGCATGCAGCAGAAACTCAACAAGAGGAGCACGGAGAAAGCACAAATTCACCAAGGCATAAAGAGCTCTTCAAATGTATAATAAGAAAAGAGGAGGAGAGTTTCAATTTAAATCTGCTTCATATAGTTAGAAAACTTACATAAATGTTGTATAGCAGCGAAATATAAAAATGGGCATTTATTTATTTATTTTTTAGAGACAGAGTCTCACTATGTAGCCCAGGCTAGCCTCAAACTGGTGGCAGTCTGCCTTCCTAGACCTCCAGAATGCTGGGATTACAAGAATGCACTACTGTACCCAGCTTATTTATATCTTTTTAAAGAAAACCAATAACTTTTTATCAATGTTTCAAATTTTAAAAAGCTAAAATACACACTAATTAATAAGGGTTTTTTTGTACTGGGGATCAAACTCACAACCTTGCGCTATTCTGGCAGACATTTATGCCCACTAAGCTAAATCCCCAGCCCATATAATTAAGATTTTGAAGCAGCCATTTTTTTGTACCATTGCAACATCAGGATACCCTATTCTGACCAAGTGTGTGGCACTGGGGAGCCATGGGAGAGGATGGTGGTAAGCGGGCCAAGCAGGAGGGCAGCCCACACAGGCTCCGCAGCAGCTGCTAGCAGGAGGAGGTAGGGCAAAGCCCTGCCCTGGTCTGGGACGGGCTCCTACAGAGCTGATGGCTGCTAGGGCTACAGATACCTGAAAAGCCTGTCGCACACAGTGCAGCTTGGCCAGGAAGTCGCTGTCTCCGAGGCACTCCAGTGCTTCAGTTCTGCGTGAGGAATGGGAGACAAACGTCAAACGTCACCCAAGATCCAGCCCGCCCTACACCTGGACTCACACAAGGCTTCATCACAGCACCTTAATGTAAAACACTCGTCTGCTCTGTGCTTGCAGAACACATAAAAATGGTCTTTCTTTTTTGCTTGGACCAAAATCATTATTTTTCCCAATTCTCAGGAACACAGTTTAATATACATCACACACACAGCAACGCACTTTGGTGTGTTTCACAAGGAACCAAAGCTGGCACCGTACCTCAGGACTCGAGAGTGAACTTTCCCTTCTTCAACCAAGTGCATGGCTTCTTCGTAAAAGGGGCAGTGGCAGAAAGACTCCAGGCTGCAGGCCTGCGCTTCCCTGTGCTCTGCGAGCTAAGAACGCAGTGAGTTAGCACAGAGACTATGGCAGCGTCTCCCTGTTATCACCAGGCGCGAATTCCACACAACCAGAACATTCCTCATCACCTTCTTTTGGTCTTTTTAGAGTTTTTCACTCTGTAGTTCAGGCTAGCCTTGGACTCACTTTGTAAGGCAGGCTGGTCTCAAACTCACAACCATCCTGCTGGGATTACAGATGTGCACCACCATGCCTGGCTAGCTATTCTATCTTATACACTGCTTTAATTAATCTTTGTAAAACTGTTCTTTGTATAACCTTGTATAGCCAGTTCTTCTGGATGGCACAGCAACCCTAAAGTAGAATCTGTCTCTTTTTGAGACCAGGCCCTACTCTGTGATTCAGCCCTGCCTTGAACTTACGATCCTCTTGCCTCACTTTGGTCCTGAGTGCTGGGATTACAGGTGCGAACCCACACCTGGCTAGAATTCAGTACTCTAACAGCACATTAAAAACACTGTATTTTGTTTAGGAGCCAGCTAGATGAGAAGCCTCTGGAGTAACTTTATTCTTTAATATCAAAGTTATCTGTTTAATGGCACACTATATTTCTGAATAATAGTTTTATGGAGATACATACCATAAAATCTACCCTTTTGAAATACATAGCCCAGCGGTTTTTTGTATAGTCAGAGTTGTACACCCACGCTGCTAATTCCAGAACATTTTCATCACTTCTCCGAGACAGCCCCAGTGGTCACCCCAAGTTCACCCTCTTCCCTGGTTCCTGGAAACCACTGTCTCCTTGCAGGTCCTACGGAGCTCCCTGCAGTGGATGCTTTGCACGCATACAGAGAATCACCACGTGGCCTCAGCGTTCGGCATCTTTCATGCAGCAAACGTTTCCCAGGCTCCTCCGTGACACAGCACATACCTCAGGGCTTCACAGTCATCCACAGCTGAATGAAATCCGTGTCTGGGCAGCGCGTGTGTCCACTGTCCACAACTGAGGGGCCCTGGGCTGGCGTGACTGTGGCTGCGATGCACATCTGTGCACAAGCTCTGCTGCAGACGTGGGTTTCCCACTCTCTGGCGACTACTTAGAATATAAGGGTCAGCTGGCCACTCCGCTCCACGCTTTGAGGAGCTGCCTACGTTCCCACATGACCGGTACTGTGTGAGAATTCAAAATTTTACACATTGCCAGTAACAACTGTTACTGTTCATCTTTTCTTTTCTCTCTTTTGCTGTGTTTTTCAGTGCTAAGGACTGAATCCGGGACACAGATTTACCAGCCCAGTGCTTTCTATTTTCAGGCAGGATCTTGCTATGTGGTTCCAGCTGATGTCAAGTCTGTATTCCTCCTGCCTCAGCCTCCCAAGTGCTAGGATTACAGGTCAGATTTTATACTTTTCTTTCTTAGTACAGGAGTTTGAAACCAGGGCCTTAACGCATGTTAAGCAAACAGTCACACTGAACTACACCCCCAACCCCCATCTTTTTGATTCTAGTTACTTTTTGATTATAGTGGATGTGAACTGGAGATTTTTCATGTTGTTATTGGCTATCTGTATACTTTGTTTAGAGAAATGTCCATTCAAACCCTTTGGCCATTTTTAAATTGAGATATCTGTCCACTGAATTGTAAGAATTTTTATATAGCCTAAATGTAAACTCCCCATTAGAGATACAATTTAAAAATATTTTTTCTCATTCTCCCTTTTCTTTTTTTAAAGGTAGGATCCCACTACTTAGTTCAAGCTCACCTTATACTTGCTAAGAAGGGTAGGCTGGTCTTGATCTTACAATGCTCTGCCTCAGCCTGCTGAGCAGAGGGGATTACAGGTGTGCACCACCATGCTCGGCTAAGTTTTCAGATTTCCAAAGTCTAATTAATTTATTTTTGTATATGCTAACATTCCCTTGCTGTTGCTCGGCATATCAATGTCAGCCACAGGTGAGAAAGGGGACCTCCGAGGTCTTTCCTGGGCACCCACATAGCACACACTGGGAATGTGTCAGAGCTCTCCAAAGCCCCCTGGAACACCCCACTGCCCTGTTTTGCTTCTAAGTATTTTTTTTTAACTTTTATTATTTTGAAGGTAGTAAAATACAACAGAACAAGACAGAACAAAGCCAATTGAGAACTGGCAGTGAAATTGGTACAGAATTCACAGCAGGTTACCGGGATGACAGTAATAGGTACCACAGTATATCTTTACAATAGTTGCTCTTTCAATCAGGTATAGCAAAATAAAATGAAATACAGAACATTACAGAATGTATCAAAACAGAATATTGAATAGAGCAATACCATTAATCAGAATAAAACAAAACAGTGGTAAAAATATTTGCCTTAAAGAGATGGTAGAAGGAAATCTCCCTTATTTGCTATATTGCATATGGTCAGCCTCCCAAGAGATGCTCAGATCTCTGGCTCCCATTTGTTAAGTCGGGGGACGAGAAAGGGAGAAGACGGGAGTGTTTGATTCTCAGCGCACTGGTAGGCTCACTACTGCTTAGGAGGGAGGCAAGTTAACACGGCACCCTAAGTTCCAACATGCGCGAATCTCAGGAGACGCTGGTGATTCTTACCCTGGGGTGGCCACACCTGCCACACCATAGCTGCTTACCAGGGAGGCGTCACTTCTGAGTTTTTGATGAGCCTCGTTTTTGCCCCTCCAGGCCTCACCTAGTCAGGCAGCTTCCCGGTAAATGATCCACACTGACCATTCTCAGGAAAGGTATGTGGGATGGGGCACACAGATAGTGCCCTGCTTAGGTCATCAGAGATGAACCCTAAGGAGCCTATAGGCAGCCACCACACAGGCCCAACAGTGACAGTGTCCTGGAGCCAGTGGCGCTTGAGCCATGCCAGTGCCATCGATCTAGTTCCTCCCAGGGGCACCAGGCTGCACAGTGGAAGGAGACTGGTTTCCAGGACAACTGCAGAGCGAGGCTGGAAGCTGAGCGAGCTCGCTGCACAGGTGAGGATTCTAGCATGTTTCTTCCATAAATGCTCTTTGAAGCTCTGCAAGTTTCTCCTGTTTTCAGAGCTCTGAAAATTCTAATCTAAAGCATTTTTTAAAAAATTTGTACCGGGGATCGAACTCATGACTGCCTACTTGCAAGGCAGGTACTTATGCCGCTGAGCTAAATCCCCAGCCCCCATTCTAAAGCATTTTTGCTAGTATTCTTGTGTTGTGAAGGGAACCTCTGGATTTTCTTTTTAAACTGAGCTGGGGACGGAACCCAGGGCCCTGCCTATACTGGGTAAGTGCTTAACTACTGAGGGTTTGAGTCTGGATGTCCCCCAAATCCTCAGGTAGTCACGGGAGTGGACTTCTAGAATCTGTGATTGATTCATGGTCCAATGCTGGGATTACAGGTGTGAGTACTACACACACCCTGGGGTGACCTACGTACAAAACAAGGGGGTCTTCTCTGTGCTCCTCCCCTTTTAATCTTGTTGCTTTGGCTGTCTTCTGCTGCCATGAACTATTGCCCTCTGCCGTGAGCCACCTGCCTTACAGCCAGCTGATGATGTACCTAAACCTCCACAAACTGTGAGCTAAATAAACTTTTCCTTCTTTCATTTTGGGCACTGGGTATTTTGTCTCGACAATGAGAGAGAAGTAACCAAAACACCCTGCATAGCCAGACGTATCTCTCTGGCTCCAGGTCTAGCTCCTGCACATCCGGCCAGCCATGCTGTGCTCCCTGCTCTGCATTATGAGTTCACGGAAGCCTCAGCTTGGGAAGCAGTGCCTGGAAAAGAAGCAGACTTTTCCAACAGCAGGAAACCTGTCTCAAGTTCCACAGCTAAATGGTAAATTTAACCTCAGGTATCCAATTCCAGTTTATACTGTCAAGCACCCAAGGAGGCATTTCTGTCAGTCTTATCTAAAGAGTACAGAATGAGAGGTCTCAGCACCAGCGCGTGTCAGGGTGATGTGAACACACAGGTGAGGCCACAGGGTCAAAGCACATTTCCCCTCACATTTTAAGGAAATAAGTTATGTCCAATGCAGTCTTTTGAAGTCTAAAAAAGAAATCTACCAGTTTAAAAAAAAAAACTCAGCATAGAAAATCTTTATTAAATAGTTTTAAAGTTTCTACTATCATCAAAACAAGTAGGTTCCACATATCCTTACTAACAGGGAAAAATCTGACAAAGGCAAGTGAGACCCCAATTAAGCTCCTTATATAAAACAACTTCTGCCAGATGTGGTTGTGCATGCCTGTAATCCTCACACTCAGGAGGCTGAAGCAGGAGGATCACCATGAGTTCAAGGCCAGTCTGGGCTACAAGGTGAGACACTGTCTCAAAAACTAATAAATAAAATAACTTCCACTAAGAAGTGAACAATCCAGCAATGAAGAGAGTCTAGGCTCAAATCTTGATTTAAATCTGCTTACTTGCTGGTCTAGCTGAAGTTATTATTTGAAAAAGCCATCTCAGGTAGGCTTGTAGCTGTGGAAACGTATCACACTGAAGATCTATACTTCTGAGCAGGGGCATAAACTCTTAAGAGACAGTGGTAACCCAAGTTTATTTTAATCATTAATCTTATCATTTTTTTAAAGCAAAATTACTAAAGTGTTGGTTTAAACTCTCATTTTAGAATACATTCTATAGGAAGAATTTTTCAATCACATTCTGAGGTATGTTTTAAAAGGTTTCAAAAAAGATTAACGACCAGAGCAGTGATGGTACTCTGGATGTACGAGTCAGTAATATGGTCTATGCCAGGTATGGTGGCACATGCCTGTAGTCCCAGCACTTGGGAGGCTGAGACAGGAGGATTGCTGCAGGTGCAAGGTCAGCCTGCACTACATAGTGAGACCCTATCTCAAAAAACCCCAAAACTAAACTGGTGTGGTGGTTTATTCCTATAATCCCAGCACTCAGGAAGCTGAGACAGGAGGCTCTCCATAAGAAACAGCTCTCTAGTAGAAGTGATCACCACTATTCGCACATTAGCATATTTATGCTTAGTTTTTTTCTTCTGTCCACACCTTACATACCACATCTTACACTTTTTTACAATTACAAGCATATGCTCTATCTAAATTTTTTTTTATATCGACATGTGTTCCCATGTCATTAAAAATTATTAAAAACACATTTATGTCTCTGTAATATTTCAAAGTACAGATGTCTGTACTCTGGCATGAGACCATTTTCAGTTTTTTATTATTAAACTCCCATGATGAACAGCATTACATATAACTTTTGAATCAGATCCCTTCTGGGGAACACAGATCTAGAAGGTCGATCTGTGAACTAAAAAGCTGAGCGAGGATGTCTTCCCATCACCGGAACTATCTCCCAGACAGCACCCCCTTCTCGCTCATCTGTGGCCCAAGCTGTGGCACGGCCCCTCCAGGGGTGGGGTTCGCAGATCCCCCTCCTTACAGAGGCCACAGACTGTGCAAGTGCACATCCCAGGACACTCATCTGGGGACCCCGGTGTCTACCATGCACACTGCTAAACCCATGGCAGCAGGGCTAAGCTACAGCAGGATGGCAAAGCTGTGCTCTACCGCTTAAAATGGAAGAGAACTTCTCCCAGACAGACAGGGCCTTCCTACCTCTGCCGAAGCAAAGGAGTCCGTTGACGCGACGCTCAAGGTATCTCGGAGGCCGAGGTCATCCCCACTTCCCTTCACTGTGACGTCTGTATCTTTATCTTCAAAGTGAAAAGGGTAGAAGGTTCAGAAAGGGACTTTCCTTTATCTCTGCCATATTCCACTTGTACAGTTTGGGTCCCGCCTGCTCCCAGTCTTTATTTATTTAGCGTGCAGAGATCTAAAGGGAAAGAGGGACGAAGTGGGCACAACACCCTGAGGAGCGCTACTGCCTTGGAGCCCGGGCAGCTCGGGTGGGGAAAGACCTGAAAGGCCCTCCTCACTTTTAACAGGAAAACAAGAGGAAACTTAAGTCTAGACTGAAAGAGCCTGGATGGATCACAATTCCAGGTGGATTAGCTACCAGGCAGAGCAAAATTAGCATATGCCAAAATTAATTCACACATTCTCCAAGGTTTAAGGCCACTTTAAAAATCAAACACCCACAGTCAGGCTGTTATCCCAGCACTCTGGGGCCCCTAGGCAAGCAGACTGCAGGTTCCTGCCCAGCCTGGACAATTTAGGAACTTAGTGACACCCTGTCTCTAAAGATAAAAAGGGCAGGGAAGTAGCACAGTGTCAGCCTTCAGTGCCACCAAGGCAGAAAGTGAGACACAACGCTGACACCTGAACAGGATCTGACCTAGGTCTTGCATATTTACTGGCTTGAGGGCCACCTGTACCTGCTCCAGGGACTGTACAGGGCGGAAAAGCAGAAAGAGTTGGAAATGATTCACCTAGCCACGGACAGGCTACCCACCAGCAAAGCTCAGCATTTGAATGTAGGCACGAAAATCTTCACATACTATTATCAGGACTCTAACTGATGACAGTAAATTTTCAGATACACTGACGATTATATTACAGCAAATATTTGATGTATTTCAAAATTCATCACAAGTACAAGAAGTGCAGAATGCAATATATGCAGCCTTTTCTTTTTTGGATTCCCCATCTGAAATTTTCAGATACTTTACCTTCTTTAAATAAAACTTGAAATTGCCTTGGCTTTCATTTATCAAAATTTCTATTCCACCACTCTTCCATAAATAAAATTCATTACTTTTACCAGAAATCTCTTCAAGTTCTCTGTCAATCCCTAAGTATCAGAAAATATCACATCTGTGACTTTGATAGGGAAGTATATCTTTTATTTTAAATTCAAAAGTTATGCAACTGATTATATTCCAACTTCTAAGGCAAGCAGAGAGAAAATAAGCTGCAATTGGCACAAAATTTATTCCCACTAAGTAACAAAACTGATGTGCCACAATTTTTCCTATTTTATTTTTGGTGAGACAAGAGACTACGCTTTATATATTCTATTTTATTTTATTTATTTTTTGAGACAGGGTCTCCCTACATAGTCCAGGCTGTCTTTGAACTTACTATGTAGCCTAGGCTGGTCTGGAACTCACGGTAATCCTCCTGCCTCAGCCTCCCAAGTGTCGGGATTATAGGCATGTAGCAACTATTTACCTCCTAAGTTTAAATTATAATTGATTTCTATGAAGTTTTATTTGCTTGGCTGGTTTTCTGAAACAGTCCCCCTATGCAGTTTTAGCTGGTACCACGTAGCCTAGGCTGGCCCCGAACTCATGGCAACCCTCCTGCCTCAGCCTCCTAAGTGCTGGGATTACACGCTTGGGTGACCACACTGGCTCAATCCTTCCAAACTATGGTACCTAGCTTTTCAGTTTAAAGTCCTACTACATAGTAAGACATGGTAGCACATGCCTGCAGTCACAGGAATGTAGGAGGCAGAGTCTGAAGGACCACTTGAGCCCAGGAGTTTCAGCCGGCCTGGACAACACCATGAAACCCTCACCTGGAAGAGAAATCCTCCTACCACTAGGTGACTACTCATGAGACAAAACGGTTGTATTCAGGTTAAATGATTCTATTTCAACAAATACTGCAGAAATTTAGTTTTCCATTAAACTAGAGACTAGAACAATCTGACTATTTTACCCTTATAAACAGGTATAAAACTGGTATCTTTGGATACTCAGTTATGAACAAAAATTCTTATGATTCTCTTTTCTATATATCTACAAGTTTTAACATATACCACAAAATAAATAAAAATATACAACGTACTGAGATCATTTTAAAAATTTAATCAGTATGTATAACTGTCAAAGCCTTTTAATTTCCTAATTATTTTCCATTCTTTATATTACCTGTACAGAAAAGATACCACGGTAAATTTTCATTTGCTAAAGCACAATGTGCAAAGTGTAAAGTGGGACTAAATTTACACGTCAATTAACTCTTGGTTCCACTGGCCTCTTGCTATTTTCGGCATGGAACACGGTCATTTATCTTGTGTCACTCTACCCTTCAGACATTATCCTCAAGATGCTAGAAGTCTGTTCCACTTCAATCAACAGTAACTAGTCATTCAATGTCATCCAGACCAGTTACAATGGTTGTATTTTATTTTTAAAACACACACACACACACACACACACACACACACACACACACTCTCTTTCTCTTACAAAGAAAAATGGCTCAATTCCAAAGGAACTAGAAAGACCTACTCATTAAATCCAACTTCATAAATCACAAACCATACCTCTTATTTCAGTAACTGTTATGATTCCTGGAATGGCAGCTTAGTAATTATGAAGAGAAATAAAACATCTGTTTTTCACATAAGCCAATAAAAAGTATTTTTAAAAATCTTGGGCAATATCCTAAACTAACTGCTTTCTGTGCATCCAATTAAAATTTAAAATACTCTTTCCAAAAAGTATCAATCTTGGTTCCAATATTAAAAGACAGGAACAATGCAAATTTGAAAATCAAGGGCTTCATTTTAGTATTTTCAGAAACTGCATACTAAATATCTTAGTGGAAAAAAATACTAAAACTGAACTGAGATATTATTATGCACCTACTAGAATGGTTAAAGTTGGAAAAAAATGGCTTATTATTCTTTTCAAAGATGTACAGAGATAGAAACTCTCGCCACTGTGGAAACATCAATTGGTAGAACCATGCTGGAAAGTTTGGCTTCATCTACAAAAGTTCAAGACTATGTTCCCCAAGGCCTAGCAACTGCACGTTGGATATGTTTTACAGAAATGCATGCTTAAGGTCCAAGGCTATAGCTCAGTGGCATAGCACCTACCTGGCAAGCACAAAGTCCTAAGGTCAATTCCCAGTACCAAAAAAAAAAAAAAGTGCTAATGTATAAGAATGTCCCAAACAGTACTGTTCATAGTAGCCCCAAACTGAAAAAAATTAAAAAACAAGATCCATCTACCGGAGAACATACAAACTAAGTGCAATGAACAATGGTACAGCTAGAATGAATCACAGCCACATGGAAGCAATGGGAATCTCACACTACAGTGAAGAACCAGACATGTAACATCACTGAAACAAAGTGCAAACACGGGCAAACAAAACTACAGCGATGTGAGTTATGTGCTTTGTTGGTAAAATTCTGAAGGAAAGCTGGAAGATAACTGTGTGGGAATTAAACAAGTTAACACAGGTAAAGATTCAATGTGAGCAATTCACATTATTGAGAGATAAATGTACCATTTAATAAACTGTATGTTTAAATAACTATTGTCTGAATATATAATAAAGAAAACATATTGTTCTGCTGCCCTGAAGCAACTTGGCTGGGGACTTTTCTTCTCATAATTCCCATTGTTACAATATTGTATTACTGTAATACTGAACACATTACAAACAAATTTTGGTTCATGCACACTAAGATTTGTTACTGTGATTATAAACAGAGTACCCCTGGACAAGAACATCCTTTAAGGGCCTGGCACTTCTTTCTCCTGGGTCATTTTGCCTGTAATGTGTCTCAGATTTGTTTTCGGAATTCTGTCACATTGCCTAGATTTCCACTACTCCAACCTAAATTAATTAAACTGAGGATACCATTTGCCAAACCTGAAGTATACAGTATATGCCCTTTAGCGAATAATAGTTAAGCTTTAGATGATTACTAGAAGAAAGCTTTCCACAAACTGGAGGACTATTTAAAATGCACCATAAATTATATAGTTACTACATGGGCTCTCAAGTGAAATAGTGTTTGGGCCACAGGCGACTTTTAAAATAAGTAAATCTGAAATTTTTAAAATTATGTTTTGACCTGTTGCAATCACCCAGAACTTTTAAAACATTCATGCATAGACATAAACAATGTTCTTCTTTGGAAGAACTCTGAAACTGTAATGTTTACTTTTAACTAAATTGTCATATATTTTAGGCCAAAAATCTGACTGGATTCAAGCCTTTTTCCCTCTTTCACAACCTCATAATTCACATATTAAGTTTTTTTTTTTTTTTTTTCCAAAGAAGGATTTGCTTTAAAAGCTTAAAAAAGAAAAGAGAGAAAAAGAAAAACCAGACAATACTGAAGTACTGGCACATGGAACTGCAGGCCGGGGTCAGTTTCCCCAGACCTACCCGAGTGGGTTTTCTGCTCACTTCTGCGTCGAGAGGCACATTCTATTTCCTGTCACTGGGAAGGGCTGGGCTATTTTAACCCTAGCAGACTCTACAGGAGATTCCACAGATGCCACCGCTCTTTCAAAGCCCAGGCTGTCCCCTGCAGACCTCGCGTCACCAACAAGAAGGGAACACAGCCAGATGTCTCTGTCGCCTGGCTTCTATCTTCAAGGCTCTCTCTCAGCGATTTTTAGCATATGGAACACAATTTGGAACCATGTTCTTTCTAAAGTTTTATTAAAAGTGGACATTCTTCCCGGCCAACAATTTTCCCACGCAAACGCTGCAGTGAGTAATCAGGAGTCTACCAACTACTGTTTGTGTGACAATCTGCCTACCTGCATGGTGAACAATTTTTTTTCTGATTTTCAAAACACCAGCAGAGTTTGAAAGAGCAAGGCTGAATACAAAAATGAAAAGCTGTTTCGGGAACAGAAGGAATAAGTTGTGATGTATCTTCTTGATTTTCCTCCGTGTGCCTCGGTGCAGGCGGGGGAGCGATCCTGCCGCCTCCTTAACCACAATGCCCACACAGAAGCAGCCTGCAGGGGGACACTGCAGCAAGGGGCGCACC